CACCTCAAAGAAACAATGAAAACTGAAGACAAAATAATAAAAGGGAAAGAAAGGAACACAAGGTATTTAAATCAACCATAGGAAAAACAATTAAATGACAAAATGAAAACAATAACAACTCCAAATGTAAATGAATTAAATTCTCCACTCAAAAGACACAGACTTATTGATGGGATTAAAAAGCTAGACCCAACTATATGCTGTCTTCAAGAGACTCACCTTACCCATAAAGACACACACAGATGAATAGTGAGGTGATGAAAAAACATATATCACACAAATGGAAACCAAAAATGAGCAGGAGTAGCTATTCTTATTTCGGATAAAATATACTTTAAACCAAAAACCATAAAAAGAGACAAAGAAGGCCATTATATAATGATAAAGGGAACTATTTAGCAAGAAGACATAACAGCCATAAATATATATGCACTCAACACCAGAGCACCCAGATATATAAAGCAAACTCTATAAGACCTAAAGAAAGGGCCCCAGTACTATAATAGTTGACCTGAACAAACCTCTCTCAACATTGGACAGATCACATAGCCAATGAATCAACAGAGAAACAGAGGATTTAAACTACATGTTAGACCAATTGGACTTGGCAGGAATCTATAGAGCATTTCATCCAACAACTAGAGAATATACATTCTTCTTACCAGCACATGGAACATTTTCTAGGATAGACCACATGTTAAATGACAAATCAAGTCTCAGCAAATTTTACAAAACTGAAATCACTTCAAGTACCTTTTTAGACTGCAATGGATTAAAATTGGAAATCATAACAAGTGAAAGTCTGTAAACTATACAAATACATGGAAATTAAACAACAGGCTTCTGAATGTCCCATGGGTCCAAGAAGGAATTAAACAGGAAATCAAAAAATTTCTTGAAACTAATGAAAATAAAGACACATCATACCAAAGCCTGTGGGATAATGCAAAAGCAGTACAAAGGGGGATTTTTATTGCAGTAAATGCTTACATCTAAAAAATAGAGTTTGAATAAATGACCTAATACCACACCTTGAAAAACTAGAAAAAGAAGAACAATCCAATCCTGAAAGTAGTAGATAGAAATAAATAATTAAGATCAGAGCAGAACTAAATGAAATAGAGACACAAAAAATGATACAAAAGATCAATGAAACAAAAATTTGTTTTTTTGAGAAGATAAACAAATAGACAAACCATTAGCTAGGTTAACAACAGAAAAAAAAGAGAGAGAGAGAGAAGACCCAAATAATAAATATCAGAAACAAAAAAGGAAACATTACAACCGTTATCACAGAAATACAAAGAATCATTAGAGACTATTATAAATGACAACCTGGAAGAAATGGATAAATTTCTGGACACATACAAATTACCAAGACCAAACCAAGAAGACACAGAAAACCTGAACAGACCAATAACAAGGAATGAAATTGAAGCAGTAATCAGCAGTCTTCCAACAAAGAAAAACACAGGATGGGATGGCTTTACTGCTGAATTCTAACAAATCTTTAAAGAGGAATTCTCTTCAAGCTATTCCAAAAAATTGAAATAGAGGCCATTCTTCCAAAATCATTCTATGAGGCCAGCATCACCCTGATATGAAAACCAGGCAAACATACAACAAAAAAAGAAAACTACAGGCTAATATCTTTGATGAACATAGACACAAAAATCCTCAATAAAATATTAGCAATCAGATAATCGCAACACATCAAAAAAATTATACACCACAATCAAGTGGGATTCATCCCAGGGATGCAAGAATGTTTCATCATACACAAGTCAAAAAGTGTGATACACCACATCAACAAAATCAAGGACAAACCATATGTTATTTTAATAGATTCAGGAAAAGCATTTGATAAAATTCAACATTCCTTCATGATAAAGTCTCTCAGAAAATTAGGTATAGAAAGAAAGTATCTTAACACAATAAAAGCCATATATGACAAACCCACTGCCCATGTCATTCTGAAGGACAGGAACAAGACAAGAATGCCCACTCTCACTACTCCTGTTTAACATAGTATTGGAAGTACTAGCCAGAGCAATCGGGCAAGAGAAAGAAAGGGCATCCAGATTAGAAAAGACAAAGTCAAACTGTGCCTTTCTGCAGATGACATGATCCTATGTAGAGAAAAACCTAAAGACTCTACCAAAAAGCTCTTAGAGCTGACAAACGATTTCAGTAATGTTACAGGACATAAAATCAACACACAAAATCAGTAACATTTTTATACTCTAATAACAAACTAGCACAAAAAGAAATCAAGAAAGTAAGACCATTTAAAATAGTCACCCACAAAAAAGATATAACTAGGAATCAATTTAACTGAGGAGATGAAAGATCTCTACAAGAAGAACTACAAATCACTGCTGGAAGAAATTAGAGGACACAAAAAGATGAAAAGACATTCCATGCTCTTGATTTGGAAGAATTAACATTGTGAAAATGTCCATACTATCCAAAGTGATTTGTCCATACTACCCAATGTAATCCCCATCAAAATAACAGTGACATTCTTCACAGAAATAAAAAAACAATCCTAGCATTCATATGGAACAGGAAAAGACCCTGAATAGCCAAAGAAATCCTGAGCAAAAAAAAAAAAGCTGGAGGCATAGCACTCCCTGACTTCAAACTATACTACAAAACTATAGTAACCAAAATGGCATGGTACTGGCATAAAAACAGACACTCAGATCAATGGAACAGAATAGAGAAGCCAGAAGTCAACCCACATACTTACAGTTAACTGATCTTTGACAAAGGCAACAAGAACATACATTGAGGAAAAGATTGCCTCTTCGATAAATGGTGCTGGGAAAACTGGAAATCCATATGCAAAAAAAATAAAACTAGACCTGTACCTCTCACCATATACCAAAATCAACTCAAAATGTATTAAAAACTTAAATATAAGACCAGAAACTATAAAACTCCTAAAGGAAGACATAGGGGAAACACATCAGGATACAGGATTGGGCAAAGACTTGATGAATAAGACCTCAAAAGTATAGGCACCAAAAGAAAACATAAACAAATGACTTTATATCAAATTACAAAGCTTCTGTACAGCAAAAGGAACAATTAACAGAGCAAAAGGACAGCCTACAAAATGGGAGAAAATATTTGCAAAGTATGCATCCAAAAAGGGATTAATATCCAGAATATACAAAGAACTTAAACAACTCAACAGTAAGAAAACAAGTAACCCAATTAAAAAATGGGCAAAGGAACTTAATAGACATTTATCATATGAAGACATACAAATGTCCAACAGACACATGAAAAAATGCTCAACATCACTCAGTATAAGAGAAAGGCAACTTAAAGCACTTTGAGATATCATCTCACCCCAGTTAGATTGGCTATTACCCAAAAGGCAGAGAATAAAAGATGATGGTGAGGATGTGGAGAAAAGGGGAACCCTCCCACGCTGTTGGTGGGACTGTAAGTTAGTACAGCCACTATGGAAAACAGTATGGAGGTTCCTCAAACAACTACAAATATAATTGCCATATGATCCAGCAATCTCACTGCTGAGTATATACCCAGAGGATGGAAATCATCATATCAAAGGGATACCTGCACTCCCATGTTTATTGCAGCTCTATTTGCAATAACCAAAGTATGGAGCCAACCTAAGGTGGATAAAGAAAATGTGGTATATATACACAATGGAATACTACTTGGCCATAAAAAGAATGAAATTATGCCATTTTCAGTAACATCGATGAGTCTGGAGAAAATATGTTAACTGAAATAAGTCAGGCATAGAAAGAGAAATACTGCATTTCCTTACTCATAAGTGGGAGCTAAAATAAAGAAAGAAAGTAAGAGAAAGAAATAAACAATCACAATAATACATTGGATTTTCCAAAAAAAAAAAAAAAAAGAGAACTGTGGTTATTAGAGGTGACAAAGAGGGAGGGAAGGGGGTTAAGGGTCACAAAGATTGATTACCTTTGGTAAACATGAGTATAATAATTATCCTGATTTGATCACCACATATTGTACACACGTATTGATATTCAATTGCATATCCCACAAATATATATAATCAATTACCTTTTAATAGTAATAATAAAATGTTAGCTCAGGGCGACCACGAAACTACCTGGTAATATAATTTCTGAATCTCTCACTGATCTCTTCAAAAAAAAAAAAAAAAAAAAGAGAACTGTGGTTATTAGAGGTGACAAAGAGGGAGGGAAGGGGGTTAAGGGTCACAAAGATTGATTACCTTTGGTAAACATGAGTATAATAATTATCCTGATTTGATCACCACATATTGTACACACGTATTGATATTCAATTGCATATCCCACAAATATATATAATCAATTACCTTTTAATAGTAATAATAAAATGTTAGCTCAGGGCGACCACGAAACTACCTGGTAATATAATTTCTGAATCTCTCACTGATCTCATCCATTCCTTTGGTTTTGTTTTCCTATTTATAAAATGGAGCTAAAGATAGTCCTCTAGTTTGATATCAAGCTCACCCAAAGAATCACTTATCTTCCATTTAAATCATGGTTCATATTGCATGACTGGAAAGTAGAGCATGTGGTGTGTGACAAGGGTTGTTGTCAATTTGTGGAGGAACATAAAAGATAATGACAGTAATCTGTAACTTGATTCATCTCTGTAGTAAATTAGTTAAAAATTTCACTATAATTTGAGGGCAATGGGGTGGAAGTGGGGTAGAAGAGAAAGAAGATTTGGTCCTTTTTCCATCATCCCTTTTTAGGGTCTCCCCTTGATTGCCCTTCAGGAAGTGGAAGAGAAAAAAAAACAAAAAACCCTGCATTCGTCAGTAACTCTAGGTCAACCACAACTTAAAGACAGTATGCAGGTCGATTAAAACAGGGACAGTGATGGGTATAAAACTGACAGGTACTTTCATTGACACAACACAGGCATACACAGGCAGACACATCCAAGAAAGAGCTTCCTGCACCAGAGTGAGCCACCAGAGCCAAATGACAATGAAGACCCTGCGTGACACAGTCATGGTGAGTAGTAACAACCACTTCTGTGTACGGACAGTCATGCCTAAAATTTCAGAAAGCAGATATCTAAGGAATTGGGCTTGTGTGTGTATTTTTTTTTAATTACTTTTTTAAAAAACAGAGGCAACTTCGATTTTGACTCCTGTCTGGTGGAGAAGAAAAAATAACTAGAAAAGTTATGATGAGGTACAAAACATAGCTCCTCACCTGATGGTTTTTACTTAAGTGGTGTTATTGTGTGAAGTCCTTGGTATCACAGACAACTGGCATGGTCCTTCTTGTGGCCACCCATTATACAGTTAGATTGACCTAAAACTCTTATCTCATGGTGGGATCTTATACAATCCTTTAGGGGATATGTACCTATATATTTTACACCAGGAAGTTGGGGCCCTAGAAGTTTGATGATTCCCCTAAGAAAACAGGAGTGCCCTGGATGGAAGAAATGAAACCAGCCAATGTTGAACTTTGGACAGCTCCTAGAGGAGGGAAATTTCACATATCATTAATTGCTTTTTTTTTTTTTTTTTTTTTTTTTTGGTATCATCTCATTCCTTTTGGAGGAAAGAGAAATGTTAAAGTGACGGAAATCTACCACCCCCCGCCCCCGCTGGTTCTGGAATTGTACCTGGCATTAGTCAGATAAAGCCTGGGGAGAATTTAACAACAAGGTGCATGGAAACAGGGCTTAGGAAGTCATGTACCATATTGTGGACTAGGTAATTCCTTTTTTCCCCCCTCCTTTCACAAGCCATGCAACTTAAAAGAACTTGTATGTCATAAAAGGTTCATGGTAAATGGCAATGATAACACTTTAATTTTATATTCATTTGTTATTTTAGAGAATACTAGAAATCCAGCAAAGGCACTATTTAGGGGCATAGGCTTCTTTTGTGTGTGTGTAGAAAAGGCATAACAAATTTTATTATTTAATATGCTGGGTGGGGGCAAAGCGCAGGAAAATCACAAGAGAGTAACGTTCCAATTTCCAATGGAGGTATAAAGCTTATATACCAGTGTTCTGGGGCATACGCTTTGGAGTCAGACAGAACTGACTCCAACCACTTGCTAAATGTGGGATTTTAGATAAGTTATTTACCCTCTCTGTGCCTCAGTTTCCTCAACTGTATGATGGAAATAATAATGGCCCCTTCCTCACAGAATGTTTTTGGGGGATTGATATCACGAGGATAAATGAATCCATATTCTGTAATGGCAGTTCTGCACATGCTCAGTTTTTAGTTAATTTGGTCATTCTAGTACACAGCAACTGTTAAAGACAGAGGAAGCATTCAGTGGGTGTCAACTATTAATATTAATATTATTATTATTATTCCTCTGAGATCCTCATCAACCCAGTGAAGTAGATAGGGATTACTTTTCCCATTATACAGGTGAACAAAAGCTCAGTTATGTAATTTAGCATCACTG